AGATCGAGATGGGTCCAGGAAATCAACCGGCGGGCAAGGCAACGTTTTGGGAAGCCAATTCCACGTGTTTTCTGAAGAAAAAAAACCCCAAAACCCCAAACCAAACCAACCCCCCAAAAACCCAAACCAAAAAAAATAAACAAACCAAAACCCCCCCAAACCCTCCTGTTAAAACCGATTCGAGGGGCAGAGCAGTCGCCCCAGGAGGAGACGGGCGATCTGCTCGCCTCTCACCTGGAGGAGCTGCGGTGGGCTTTAAATGCATGGGGAAAAAAAAATTATGGGAGTATGGGGGAGGCTGATTTAGAGTCGGGTCGTTGCGGCTTTGGTCCGGTCCCGCTGTTTCCAACCCGTTTGAGAATATGAGCTAGAAACGTGATAGAAATGCCAGCCAGTGTCTCCTGCTGCCTGCCCCTTCCCTGCGAGCAACTGCCTTGCACAACGGAAAACGAAATTCTCTCTTATTTCGGATGGAGCGGTCCCGCAGGCCGTTACCTCCGCAGAAACGCAGGGAAGAGGGAAAAGTTTTTCAAGGAAAACCATCGCCCTCCGCCTGACAAGCGCCCATCAGTCTCTTACAGCCCTTTATCCAGAAAAAATCAGGTTTTGGAGATAGTATTTGGAAATCAATTATTCATAGCGCCGAAGGATAAAACTGTCGGAGCATTTGCACACTGGAGCGCTCCAGTTTGGGTCTAAAGTCACCAGTTTAACTCTCATTTCTGTTAGGAACTCCTCAAAGTATTGGGGCACACCAAATCATTCCCGTCTCTGCAGGGGAATGCTGAAAAAAATCAGCAAAAATTTATGTTGTACAGGCGTAGCAATGAGAAGGCATAAAAAAATCAGTCAGGAGAAAGTAAGAGGTTTACGGGGCTGTAAAGAGAACTAGATTTCATTTTTTAATTTTTATTTAGAAAAGCAACAAGCCCCTTTTGAATGCGTTTTGCAGGCTGCGCTGCGGTGCCAAGGAGAGGAGCCAGTGGACGGGCTGAGATGGGGAATGAGAGAACAGCGATTGCGATGATTATCGCGCAGATGCTAAAATATTAGGGCTTCCTGGGATTATTTTCTCTTTTTTTTGGCTAGCCTTAATGTAATTGGTATTTTTCTTCAGGGTGCCTTTCCTGGACAGATGTAAATATAACAAAATCTCCATTTCCATTAATAATAGTATTGTATTTCTGAGGAAAAGCTGAAAGATAGAAATACCGAAGCCCTAGAAGCAGAAGGTAAATTATAAGAAAGCATGAATGATGTGTGGAAGAAAGAATTGGCCGTAAACTTGGGATTTTTGAGCCTGATAGAAATGGCTGAGAGAATCTGCTCTTTGAGCTGCTCTGTCCTCCCCGCCGTGGTCCCTGTTCCCAAACTTGTCCTGGAAAACCGTGTGCTGTTATTGCTTAGGACACCTCGAAGCAAAGACTAACACGCGTTTGCTCTGCTGCAGCCAGCTGCGATGGGATCCAGTCGCCGCCGCGCACTCGCCAAGGTCGGCTCAGTCGCATCATTTTACATGACCAAAAATCCCTGAGTCCTGGGCGGACGTCGGGATGCGGGGAGAGGACCGGGTCCCTGCCCTGCATCCACCCCTGCTGATGTCAGTACCGAAACAGCCGCTGACATCAGCGGGGAAGGGCGAGCTGGGCGAGCTGTAAAACATTCCCGGATTATTGCGAATAGGTGCCGCCTGCGTGCTTCCCGACCTGTAAGATACTCTGTTTGCTGGGAGCTTGCAAAATTCATCTGCACCACATCCAAAATCTTCGTGGCTTTTTTAAGGTTTGCTACGCCGGCTTGGTGATGCATTTGATTCCGTGCTGCCGAGTGAATGTAAAGTCTGACCGGATCACAGCCAGACAGTGTATGGCATGGAATTAAATGTAAATAGAGAAAGACACAGAGCAAAAACGGGTTCACATTCCCTTCCTTCCTTTTCCTGTGACTTTGGTAAGAAATTAAAATAAGGGCTGGGGGGGGGGGGGGGAACCTCTGGAAGAATGTGGTAATGAATGTGCAGCAGAGACGTGCGGCTCTGAAATGGCGTTAGGTGAAACCAGCATCTGTTTAGCACCGGGGACGGCCGCTCCAGAGCACCATTCCCACGCCAGAGCAGCCGCCGCTTCCCAAGTTTTCGCTCCTGATGCTGCTCGGGAGGAGCGGCGAGCCGGTGCCGGATGGTGATGTTATACACAGCAGCGCTCACACGTGTGAAGCAAGCGGGTGTTGCTTTTCTACCAAATTATGAAAGCGCTCATTGATTCGTTTCAGAAGGGAGAACGTTAAAAATGACATGTGCATTTTGCGTTTCTGGAGCTGCCGATGGTATTCAAGTATACGTTTCAAATTGCATGGGAAGCCAAGTAATATTAGTCAATTCCTGTGAGCAGGAAGGTACAGAAAAATTTCTCCATCAGGCTGAATACTTTTTTTTGTTCTTACATACAAGGGGAAAAAGCTGCCTGTAATTTGCACGAAAAATAGAGAACCTAAAATACCAATGGTGTCTGTAAGGGGAGAAGGGTATCGGTCATGTAGCGAGGCACAGGGCTGGCGGGTACCCAGTGTGGAGCTGAACTTCGTCGTTGTCCCCGTCAAAGGGATGGGGCTGGACGTGTGTGACTCCCGTTCTCAGAGGGGTGCTGAGTAACAACAACAAATAATTTATGGACAGATCTTCCCATTTTCCAGGCGCTGATTTTTGGAGCAGGTTTGTGCTTGGACGGGCACCGGCAGCAGGGCGATGCGGAGCGGGAGCAGGCGTCCTCCAAGGTTCCTTGGCCGTGAACGTCAGCTAGCCCAGCCTGGACAATTTCTGTTTTTATTTTCAGGTGGGAGCTCCAGTTCTTCGCCGGTGACCTCCAGCGGTGGGACGCCTTCTCCTCTCAACCCCCTGCTTTCTCCATCGTGCTCACCTCCTACCTTTCACTTGTCGGCGAGCAACATTGGCGTGTCGTGCCCCGAGACCTACCTACACAACCTCAACCTGCCCCTCTACTACAAGATTTGTCCTACGAGCTTCTTAAGACAACAGGCTCTCATCTTTCCGAGCCACGACAAACTGGGAGGCACCAACCCGCATCTTGTACCCCACTTCATGGTGGATATGCCAAAACTATCTTCCCTTGGCATAACCAATCTGAAAAATGCTAAAGCTGAAGACTTAAACGGGCAATGTCTACAAGTACCCAATTCTGCTGGTCAAATGCTGTACGGATTACATGCATCTGGAAACATTTTCCCATCAAGTCCCATTGCTCGGGAAGCACTTAATTGTTCTTTACATCCTCCATATGGCTTGTACGGTTATAACGTCTCTGTGCCATCCAGACTGATGAATGCAGCAAGCCATTTCAAAGTGAGTGACAGCGTTCCGGCTTCTTTGAGAGATGGCAGATGTAATCACTCTAACTGGCACCCGACAATTAACCATTGCCTTTAGTGGGATTATAGAATATTTCTAAGCATTGATTTGTAGAGCAAGCCTCCCCTTCCTTCCTTCCTTCGTACCCAAGGGCTTGCTAGCTATTGACTATGAAATGCTGCGTGGCGCAGGAGCGGTATGTCTAGGCATGTAACTTTTTTTACGGGCAAACGTGTCATGTTGGTGGGCGGGTGGAGGATCCGGGAGCGTGGAGGGCCTGAGGGCATCCACAGCAAGGTGATACCTGTTGGTAATATTTATGTCTTGGTTGTAGGTTAAGAGCAAACTGTACAGTCACCTTTTTAATATTTGCACTCTGAAGTGGGAACGTAGACGTATACATTTCTACAACTATGTTTTCCTGAAGCCATCTATCTAGCTTGCCCTTAGTTAGCTCAAAGCCCCAGTGAGCTTCTTTCTGCTCACCCTCCTCGAGTTTTTCCACTGATTTCAAAGGGACTCTCTGAGACCTTGAATCAGCAAAGAAGAGGTATTTGGCCAAGTGCTCGAGCATGTTCTCAAGTTGCCTTGGCTTTAATGGGTCCTAACATACAACGTGAAAGTGCCTTGTTGCTCCAGGACCCAGACGACTCCATTATCAGAGTGGGGATGTAAATTCAAGTATCTGCTGCCGAGGTAAAGAGAGCCGGGATAAATGACGGATGTGTTCCCACCTTGTGGGGATGAGACAATGGAGCCCCAGGAGCCCTCCTCTCTGTGTTCCAGCTTCTGGAGGTCTCCAGGAGTTGGTAGTGCAGAGCGGCACCAGCGCTGATGGCATGCTGGGAAGGAACGGGGGACGAGGGGGTCACACATCTCCCCCATGGTGGCCAGATCCATGCTGGGGGCCTGGGAGATCCAACTCCGAGAGCTGCGTGGGATGAAAGGCCCCCGGGAGCCCTGTGGGACGCTCCTCCTGCTCAGCACGCTCAGCCCCGGGGGATGCAGGAGATCCATCAGGGATCGCATCTGCCAGCCTGTGCCCAAGGGAAGGGGCAGGGATGCTCCTGGCTCCGTCCGGCAGAGGCCACAGAACCTTTCCAGAGAGTTACAACTCTACAGGCCCCGAAATGCTGAGATTTTCAGTTCCTTCCCAAAGTCCTGTTTGTTTTATTATAACCTGTGGATATTCTTGTTATTCCTGTAAATAATCTCTAGCTCCCAGGGGCACAATATAACTTGCAATAAACTGGGGCACAGATTTTATTCTCTATTTGATCAGTGCTCATTCCCTACCTGAAGCCAATTTTATTACTTGATATATGACCAAGATTTGAAAATAATGCTTGACTGGGACCGGCCGCGTTTTGGGACTAAGATAAGAGAATTCCGTATTTACAAACATAACGCAGCGCTATAGAGGGATTCAGTGCAGGTTTAAGAATCAAAATTGGTGTCAGAGTTTTGGTTTTATTTTCATCCATAACAGAAAATAAACTAAGAACAGAACAAGCGGTATCGAAAGCTGTTAACATAACAAAACCTCACGCTTTTACGTTCATGAGACTTTGCTTAAAATCAGCCAACATTGGTTTCCTTAATTTATCAGCTTTGAGCGTTCACAGAGCCCCCAGCAATACCAGTATGGAATGGTGGGCCGTGCTTGCTTGGCTAAACGGTCTGTACAACTCCAAAAATGAAGAAACCTGCTTTCTTGTGTTGTTTCTTAGCAGTTTATCTCACTATTTTTATTAAAAAAGAAAAGAAACTAATTTTTTTTTTTTCATTTGGGAGTCCTTATTTCCATCCCTCATCGTCGGTGGTGGCCGAGTCCCACTGCAGGTGCTGGGACCGGCTCGGCAAAGTGCCGTGGATCTCTGCTCCCCGGGAGGAATCCCGTGGGCTGAGTGACCGAGTACCAGCCCCCACATGGGGTTTTACTTTTGGGGAGCTGGAAGTCACGGATTCGTGGGTGGATGCAATGGGTAATTTCCAATTTTCCAGATATTTGCGGTTGCATAAAAAATTCCACAGTTGCTGGCCATGAGCTGGTGATCCAGCAGGCCAGAGGCTGTCCAGTTAAAAACGTGACTGGTAATGAGTAGGATGGATGATTCCAGCACCGACAATTTTCCAGCGAGAGATATTTAAATTTGGATCAGATAAATTCCATCCTCTACAGCTGAGCAAATGTCCTCTTTGGTGGGACCCACCTCATTCCTACGTGGAGCAGGTTTGCAACCGGGCACGGGGCTTGGTTATTCTGTGCCTTTTAGTATGAAAGCGCAAACCCAGCGCCGGGGTGATGGGCTCCAACAGCGATTGCTCAGCCAACGCCAGTGAAACTGGGTTGGGTTTCGCTGCCTCTGGTCCTGCGGGAGCTTGGGTTTTGCCGCCCTCCCCAATCACAGCCACAGCGAAAACACATCCAGAGCCTGGTGGCTGCAGGGGCTGGGTGTCACCAGCGCCCGTGTCCCGTGGGTGCTGGCACCGAGCTCCGGGGAGGATGCAGCGCTCATCGGCGTGGGCAGGACAGCCTCATAAATACCAATAGCTCAGTATGAGGGGTCAGCACACAAGAGACACTGTCAGATCTGGGTTATCGGAGGTTACTTTCTACTTCCTTGGCCTTTCTCTCCTGATTTAGCCTTTCAAATATCACTGTGACAAATAAAAAGGTGCTGGTGGTTCTTTACGAAACAAGTCAGTAATTTTCCAGTGGTCGTATGTCTCTGCCCTGATGCCCACATTGACATCTCAGGCCCGGCCAAGGCTCCCCAACCATGCCGGCGCGGGAGTATTTTCCATACCCGCATTGGTAATTCAGCTGAATTGCTTACACTGTAACACAGAGGGTTCTGCTCATATGAGACACAATGTGCCCCAAATAGCAGATAACCTGGGGGCTACTTTCTTAGGGGTGCTGTGTAAAAGGGCTGCTGGTGAGAGGTGGGCAGCAGAACTCGAGAGGGTAAGGCAGTGAAATAAATCACCGGTTATTAAAGGCGAATCTGGGGGAGTCGAGGTCAATATTCCAAGTGGGACCGCGTGCCTGTAAATACAAACAGGTTACACGCGGCTTTGCACCTCCCATTAACTTTATTTGGAAATCTGTGGCAATTGCAAAAGTTCATAGTTCTTTAGACTTCGCGGGTGAATACAAATATAAACCCCATATTACGGTGCTGTTTTTAAATGGGAACAGGAAGAAAATAATCAAAGGGTAGTTTGGGTTTTTTTTTTAAAGATTAAACTTGCAGACCAACGTTAGCTCTTCGCCATTTGACCTTTCCCAAGAGGAGTCTGAAGTTACTCGGGAATATCTGATCCCATTTATAGCACTGGGCAAATAAACCCGGCCGTACCGAGGGCACCGCGTCCGGGCTCGACACGGGGAGACGGGATGGGCTCGGTGCTCAGGCACCAGGAGGTGGCTGTAAAAATCCAAGGAAGCAAAAAGCCCCCATCGATAATGTTTTTAATCAAAGCGCAGTTTACTCTCCCGTTCCACCCAAATTTAATACCTCTACTGGAGAGGCCAGAGGCGTAGAGCGAGCGTCGGATGTAGTTTTTTCTGATCGAAGTGCCTTGGTTTACATTTGATCTGCTGAGGTTCGGCCTGTAATTAGATGATAATTTGTATCACAATTATGCAAAATAAACAAGGATTGGGTAGCAAGGCAGACCAGAACAAATAAGCACCCCGAACATTTGAAATGCATCCAGCGCTGAACCGATGCACATGTGCGGCTGGGGCCGGGGGGAACATGCGGTTCCAATAAAGCTGCAGAAAGGGAAAAGGCCGGTATCGGTTCCTACAAAAGTTTCAAATGCTCATGTTTACAAATTTGTATTGCACATTAATATGTAAACACACGCTATTGGAAACAGATGAGCCCGCAATATTTACGTGTTCTTTCTTCTCAACTCCGCGTGCCTGTCTCCCAGAATACACAAAGACGCGGGGACGCTTTTAAAACGTGGCTCAGAAAGCGACGTAAGGGCTACAGCGTCTGAAGGCAGAATTTTAAAATTGCCGGTGCCGCGGCAGCTCTGCAGCCCCTGGATGTATTTTGGGTAGCGGGCGCAGGGGGATGCGTCCCCCGACTCCTCCCGGGGCTGTGCTATGAGCTCTCGATGGCTGGAGCCGCGCTTTGCGGTGCTGCAAGCGATTCCTCGTTCCTGGCCGTTTACACGCTGGAAGTATTTCAGAATTTTCATCCGCAGCAGCCCCAGCCCCGCCGGCTCAGCAGCCTCCGTGTTCCGCTGATGCTGTGGCCATGCAGCGCTGGGAAAAAACACTTTTTAAAGAGTTATTTTTGATAAAGTGATTTTGAAACAGAAAAGAAAAAAAAAAAAATCTCCCTTGCCACATGAATAAAAGCTCGCGACTTGCTAATCGCCTTTTCTTTCACCGGTTGATTTGCATTTTAGGATGCAAGCTCTGGGCACCCCTTTCTGCGCTCGGCCGTGTCTGTGCAAATCGCAGCCTCCCGGCCCCCGTGGAGTTAAAGCCGGTGTCGGACAGCCGGGGCGCAGCGATGGAGGCTGTTGGGAATTACGCTGGCTGCAAGGGCTTTTGCAGATGTTGGGTATTGCGCTGCAAGCTGTTCAGGCTTAATAGAGCTCTGCTCTCTCCGAGCTCGGCTCGTTTCTGAACTTTACCGTTATTTATAAACCCACGTCTCTCCGTCCCTGCGGTGACACTCACAAGAAGGACCTACCGTCTGCTTCCATACATCAAACAATTTCCTCCCAGATCTCTTATCCTAAAGCACCAAGTTTTAAGTTTATTGTAGCAATTAAGTACAAGAAGTAGTCCAGGCTTTGTGAAGGACCCCTTGAGCTTATAAATCAAATGACACAAACCAGCGAGCAAAATTCAAGACCTTTCTGGAGAGGAAAACAGCAGCGATAAGGGAGAACCCCCAGGAAAAGTAATATTGGCTGGCTAAGGAGGCAGGTCCTGAACAAAACCAGAGATGGGGGCAGGGGCTCGGGATGGTTTCAGGCCCTCTGAAGTCTGAAGATATATTAGATGCACTAAGGAGGCTTTCAGGTACCTTCTCTTATTTTAG